TTAGGAGGGCCGACAAGGTTGCTAGCCTTTGGTCAGGCTACTATCCTAACACACCCCTTCCCCCAGCCGACCCGTTTTGGGCCTCTGTACACGACCTGGCCAACCTGAACACCCTTGACCCAGTTTCCCTTCGCTAGCAATATAAACGTGACTGCTCCGAGAGCCATTTAACACCCTCTCCCCGACCGCCACTTTATGGACCACTTTAACTAACCACCCCTCCCCCCGGCCGACCCCTTTTGGGCCTCTGTAAACGACACCCCCTTCCGAGCAAATGTTCATACCAATGGAATGGCACATGAACTGGCTCCTGAAGTCACATAAAAGCAACGGTTCCTCCCTCTCCCACTGTCACACACGCTCTCCCAAGACTGGCTTCACCTTGCACCCGTAAGTTTTTGTTGAGCGTGCGTCGTTCCCTTGTCTAGGGTCCGGTGATATTTGGCCAACTCCCTTGTTCATGACTGCCTGTATCCAGTGCTAAGGTTTGGAACTCGTTTATTCTTCACTATTTGTTTAATGGTACCCTATTACATTGCTTGTTGTTATCGTTGAGGTTTGACGTACGCGTTACTTCTGAATAGAGATTCAGAGGAGGCAAGAAACTCCAACCACTACATGATAATGCTTTTCTGAGGCAATATAGGCGGAACCTCGACTGAAGACCAAACCACAAGGTTTAGTCACTTGCAGCTAAACACTGCGGTGGTTGCTGAAGGGCAATGGGCAAGAGCTGACACTTGGCCCTTCAGTACCAGAACCGACCAACATACCAAAAAAAATCCACTCCTGAAACCCATTCCTCTTTGACGCGGCAACGAATTCATCCGAAGATCATATTAATGTATCACTAATACTCCGTGCAGAGTACTGGAAGGCGAAGGTGGATGCTGATGCTTCTAGGACGCCCTGACGCCGTCTTAGAATCTACTGTAAATTTTGAAAGATCATCATAGTAAATCAACGTATTATACAGTTCGCCACGAAAGCCGTTGCAGTTATCGTCGAACTCAATAAATTCTGGAGGCTAAGGAAACGCTTTGAACAGAACTCGGAGAATATAATTTAAATTACTAACTAGGCTTTGTATATGTTGCATTATATATTTAATGCTTACAATAAACTTACTTAGGAATCCTTAAATGCCAAACGCGTACGCCCTTGAGGTGCAAATTCAACTTCGATCAGAATCTGAAATTATCGGTTGCTGTTGACCACCTCCCATCACGTTAAATAGGGTGCAGATTTATCACTAAAACCATTACTATCCCCCACGCACTCTCATTGACTACTTGACACATAACAAGTTCTGCTGCCGTCGTCAGTTAATCCCTGCCGCCTTCGTAGTGTCCGTCTAGCTACTTCCATACATTTAATTCTCTTTTTTATTGAGTGTTCTGTTTAGAGTGCTTTATACGTAGACTTAAACAAGAAAACCCTATTTAAATCTGTTTTGCATTATTTGCTGCGTTAAATTGGCTATTTTATGCACGTTTCCATGTGTCTCACCCGTAACCACCGGTCCTCTTTTACTCATAGCCCTAGCTACTGTACCCTTGCAAGAACTGCACACTATAAGCATGGTAAATGGACGCCCACCGATCTGACTACGGAACGTGTTCATGCCATTGTGCCTTGGTACCCAAACTAGAACCCTGCAAACAATCCTTTTAAGATCGGATCTAAAGTTGACAGGGACATTTCAGCCGAATTCCACCAGCTCTTACGGATTACAGGTAAAATGTGTTGGAGTAGAAAGTTCCCAGGAACTTACTTTGCACTATTGATTATTTTAGCCATATCGAAAAATATTTGAATGCGACTAACTTTTGACAAAGAAAGATCCGTGTAATAATTACATCTTTAATAAACTTAGTGTACTTGAAAAGAATATCAAAGAAAGCGTTGATTATCTAATAAGTCACACAGGGAAAAACCGAAGGCAGGCTTAGGTCCTTAAACGATTTTTAAATAGACCGCCGAAGCCTCCTGTCGTCTTTAAAGGTACAATTGCATGTTAACACACACAGTACCTGATATTTACTCGTCATAGGGTGCCGCCCGTTTCTCTTCTCTAGTAGTATTTCGGAAGGACTTTATGAGGTCTTCCACCTTTGGAGAGAATCTGTATACATAACGTTTTCCGGCAGATTTCTCAATAATTTTCTTGTCGTAATAGTAGCGCAGGCCGCGGCTCAGTTTCTCATAGTTCATTTTTGGCTTGTTCTTTCTTAGACCCCAACGACGGGCCACCTCGTTGGGATCGTGCAGACGAAATTCTGTACCCTGACCGGTCCAGCCGATATATTTCTCGGAAAGAGGATTATTCAGCTCGTCGAGTAGAAACTGCCAGAGTTGGATTGGACCGCAGTGCTCAGAGGAAAGTGCTTTCCAGGCACTTGACCCTCTACGATTATCATGACTCTTGCGCTGAGACTGTTCGGGATTCTTCTTGTCTCCTCCGTATGTCTCTCGTCGTTCTACTTTTGTGCCATCAGCAGGAGTAGTTAGGAAAGTTTCGGAATGCCAACAATTACTCCTCGGTAGGGGGGAGCTGTGGGCTTTCGCTTTGGACATTTCGGCACCTTCGTAGTTTAGTTGCCATTCTAGGAAGGAGAGTATGAAGTTAAAAAAGGGCAAAATAAGTCGGTACGCCTCTTCGTTTCGGAAATATCCTTAAGTCTCTGGTTACTAATGGACATAAGTGTGGTTTTCAAAATAGAAAGAGTTGAGAAAAGGTTAATTATTTTCGTTCATGAACTACGAGGTCATAAGCGAACACCTTTAGAGGTGGCGTAGTCTGGCTTGTCCAACTACGTTTTCCTTTTAATTTTAAATTCTCTTGAAATGTTTGTACTAAAAGAATAAAAACCCTCAGGTAATGTTCTCATAAAAACCGAGCAAAACAGGCCACATCTCAAATTATTATCAATCAATAATTTTTGCTCCTGATAAAAAGGACCATTTCCTTTTTATTGATGATGTCTGGGGTTCAAATTTTTTTTGTTTATATAAGGGAACTAGATTTATGCTCAAGAAGAAAACTGCTAAGCATTGCTGATGATAGGAAATCTTAAAACGAAAAAATTCAATCCCCATAATTTTCTTTGGAAGTTCATTGTTTCCATTGGTATGGGAACGCGTGGACCGAGAAATTTCTGAAAACCTTTGGCCCCAGAGGTCTAATAATTGCCACCTTACGTGTCTTTCAGGTGGAATTAAACGAATAAACTGCATTTGCTAAGTTCATATTAAATTGCAGCATATACCGATTTGCATACCCCTCTAGCATCCTAAACAACTTTAAAATAAGCAAGAAACTGATCTTGCCCGGTCGTGACATTCGATGTAGTCTGCAAGGTTTCGTTTCCTGCTTACCTGAGGATAAGTTATGCCCTGAAGATATAGATTCCAGCATCGCTTCGGATGAGTCACCGATCGCTGAATTTTCGTGACTAATCGGATAAACCAGACGTTCTCCCCAGTTTTGCTGATGATAGGCCGCGGAAAGACG